AAAGTGAGGATTCTTAATAAAAAATTCTGTAGAGGTCTCAAAAGGCCAGGACCTTTTCAGAAATATTTTGTAGAGGTATCTGTAGGTTAGGACTTTTAATAAAACATTTAGTGGAGGTCTCTGAAGGTTAAGATTTTTAGTCAAATATTTGGTAGAGGTCTCTGAAGGTTAGGATTTTTAATAAATTATGATTTAGAGGGTTCTGCAGGTGAGGATTTTTAATAAAATGAAATGTAAAGGTATCTGCAGTTTAGGATTTTTAATGAAATATTTTGTAGAGGGCTATACAGGTTAGGATTTTTAATGAAATACTTTGTAGAGGTATCTGAAGGTGAGGATAAAAAAAAATAGTTCTCTGAAGTTGAGGATTTTTATTAACATATTAGGTTAGAATTTTTGGTGTGGTATTTTGTAGATGGCTCCGAAGGAAAGGATTTTAAAGAAAATATTTTGTAGAGATCTCTGCAGGTTAGGATTTTTAATGAAATATATTGAAGATGGCTCCGAAGGTAAGGATTCTAAAGAACATATTTTGTAGAGGTCTGTGAATGTAAGGATTTAAAAGAACATATTTTGTAGAGGTCTCTGAAGGTTAGGATTTGTAATTAAACATTTTGTAAAGATCTCCGAATGTTAGGATTTGTAATTAAACATCTTGCAGGGGTCTTCGAATGTTAGGATCTTTAATAAATTACTTTGTAGAGGTCTCTGAAGGTGAGGATTTTTAATAAAATATTTTGCAGAAATCTCAGTAGGGTAGGATTATTAATGAATAAAATTTAGAGGTCTCTGCAGGTTAGGATTTTTAATAAAACAATTTGTAAACGACTCTACAGGTCAGGATCTTTAATGAAATACTTTGTAGAGGTATCTGAAGGTGAGGATTAAAAAAAATAGCTTATAGAAGTCTCTGAAGGTGAGGATTTTTATTAAAATATTTTTTAGAGGTATCTCAAGGTTAGGATTTTTGGTGAAATATTTTGTAGATGACTCTGAAGGTAATGATTTTAAAGAAACTATTTTGTAGAGGTCTGTGAATGTTAGGATTTATAATGAAATATATTGTAGATGGCTCCGAAGGTAAAGATTTTAAAGAACATATTTTGTAGAGGTCTGTGAATGTAAGGATTTAAAAGAACATATTTTGTAGAGGGGTCTGAAGGTTAAGATTTGTAATTAAACATCTTGTAGAGGTCTCCGAAGGTTAGGATTTGTAATTAAACATCTTGCAGAGGTCTCCGAAGGTTAGGATCTTTAATAAATTACTTTGTAGAGGTCTCGTAAGGTGAGGATTTTTAATAAAATATTTTGCGGAGATCTCAGTAGGGTAGGATTATTAATAAATAAAATTTAGAGGTCTCTGCAGGTTAGGATTTTTAAGAAAACAAATTGTAGAATTCTCTACAGGTTAGGATTAGGAAGGCGAGGATTAAAAAAAAAAATAATTTATAGAAGTCTCTGAAGGTGAGGATTTTTATTAACATATTTTGTAGAGGTATCTCAAGGTTAGGATTTTTGGTGAAATATTTTGTAGATGACTCCGAAGGTAAGGATTTTAAAGAAAATATTTTGTTGAGGTCTGTGAAGGTTAGGATTTTTAATGAAATATATTGTAGATGGCTCCGAAGGTAAAGATTTTAATGAACATATTTTGTAGAGGTCTCCGAAGGTAAGGATTTTGAAGAACAGATTTTGTAGAGGTCTCCGAAGGTTAGGATTTGCAATTAAACATCTTGTAGAGGTCTCCGAAGGTTAGGATCTTTAATAAAATACTTTGTAAAGGTCACGGAAGGTTAGGATTTTTAATAAAATATTTTGTAGAGGTCTCTGTAGGTTAGGATTATTAAAAAATAAAATGTAGTGGTCTCTGCAGGTTAGGATTTTTAATAAAACATATTGTAAAGGTCTTTGCAGGTTAGGATTTTTACTCAAATATTTTGTAAAGGTCTCTGCAGGATAGGATTTTAAATAAATGTTTTTTAAAGGTATCAGAAGTTGGGGATTTAATCTTTTTCAGGAGGAGGAGAAGGTTGTTGATTTTTTTAAAATATTATGAGGATTCTGAAGGTGAAGATTTTTAAAGAAAATAATTTGTAAATGTCTCAGGAGGTTAGGATCTTATAAATAAAACATTTTTATGGTACTTCGAGCTGCGAACTTTTTAAAAATTTTTTTTTAGCAGTCTATCAACATTAGAATTTAAAAAAAAAACAGTTTTAGGAGTATCTCAGGATGTGGATTTTTTTTTAAATCACAGATGTTGAGGATTTTTTTATATTTTTTGCGGATTTTTAAAAACATATTTTTAGTGGTCCTTTGAGTTACAAACTTGCGAATTTTTTAAAAAATATTTTTTACGAATTTTTTAAAAAATTAAGTTCTCCTAAGTAAAGTATTTTTAAAAATATTTTACTCAGGTTGCGAACTTTTTAAAAAATATGTTTTTTGTGGATCTTCGGGATGCAATGTGGTCCTTCGATTTACGAACTTTGAAAAAAAATATAACTGGTACTTCGATTTGCGAACTTTTTAAAAATACATATTTTAGTGGTATGTCAAATCGCTGATTTTTTTAAAAAATACTTCTAGAGGCCTCCCAAGGTGATGAATGCTTAAAAAAATATGGTCCTTCGACTTGCGAACTTTTTAAAAATACATATTTTAGTGGTCTCTCAAGTTGCTGATTTTTTTAAAAATACTCCTAGAGGTCTCTCAAGGTGATGAATACTTCAAAAAATATGGTCCTTCGACTTGCGAACTTATTAAAAGTACATATTTTGTGGTCTCTTAAGTTGCTGAATTTTCTAAAAAAACTTCTAGAGGCCTCTCCAGGTGAGGAATGTTTGAAAAATATGGTCCTTCGAGTTACCAACATTTTAAAAATACACATTTTAGTGGTCTCTCAAGTTGCTGAATTTTTTAAAAATACTCCTAGAGGCCTTTCAAGGTTAGGAGTGCCTAAAAAATATGCTTTCGAAGTTTTTCATGTTGCGGATTTTAATTGTTTTTTTTTCAAAAATTCTGGTCACCTGACATTTTATTCAAAATAAACGTTCTTGAACTCATCTCATTCTCAGTCTTATGCCGATGAAGATATTTATCGTATCTCCATTTCGATTCTAAATACCTTTGGCTCAGAATTATCATCAATTAATTATTGTAATCACGTTGATGTGGTCACAACAGACACTCACACGCATGCGTGACTAAAATAATTGATTACAAGCCCCATCGAAATGTAAAGTGAAGTAGAGTAGAGTCGAAGCTTCCGAGGAGGAAGTTAATAACAGTGTTTTTAAAAATTTTAAACCTTGAATGCAAAAAGGAAATTGAGGCAGGTGTTCAAAAAAATTTTGGCAATCAGGGTCAAAATTAAAAATATAATTGTTCAATATTTTATTTAAAATTTCAAAATTAAAACCTTGAATGCCAAAAAAATTAAGGCAGGTGTTGACAAAAAACCTTCCAATAATTTCTTTACCCACCCTATTGTCTGGGGCCTCATATAAATTCCCCATCCCGATAAGTGCAATAAAATTGCCAAATTGATTTCAATTTCAAATATTTTTGTTGTGATTTTTTTAGTTGTTGTTATTATTTTTGCTACGGCCATAAATTGTAATGGCTTCTAAGCAGTAGTTCATTTTTGTTTATGACCGGGAGTTTTCCCCCAATATCGCTGCGATAAGATTAGTTAATTTAATTTGAGGCGGGCAATAAATAAGTAGTTATCGTTCGAAGATTTACGATATTCTGGAACTGGTAGGAAAAAAATAATCTGAAAATACCCCGCATCTAATCGGGGAGAAAACAATATTCCATCTCCAGTTGTAAATCAATTGAAGCTAAGAAGGTCACTTTTCCTTTTCCGTAATCGTGGAGGTACGCACGTTTAATCATGCGCTTCATAAATTTACAACAACATTTTTAGGAATTATTTACAAAAAATTAAATCTTTTGAAAAAAAAAATTAAAAAAAAATTCAAAACAAGGAAGAAAATTAAAATTTAATTTTTTTTCTAATTTGGATTTTTTTTCAAAAAATTTTGATTTTTTTAATTTGGATTCTTTTCAAAAATTTTTGTATTTTTCCAAGAAAATTGCATTTTTTTATTCTAAAAATTCTGAAAAAATTATTCAAAAAAATTTGAATTTTTTTCAAAAAATTTTAGATTTTTATTCAAAAAATGTTGCAATTTTTTTAAATTCTTAATTTTGATTTGTTTTCAAAAGTTTTAGAGTTTTTTTTTTTCAAAAAATTTAGATTTTTTTTTCAAAAATTTTAGAATTTTTTTTTCAAAAAATTTAGATTTTTTTCAAAAAATTAAAAAAATCTTACATTTAAATTTAAATATTTAAAAAAAAAATCAAAACAAGGAAGAAAATTAAAATTTAATTTTTTTTCTAACTTAGATTTTTTTTCAAAAAAAATTGATTTTTTTAAAATTGGGATTCTTTTCCAAGAAAATTGAATTTTTTTTCTACAAATTTTAAATTTTTTTATTCCAAAAATTTTGATTTTTTTTATTCAAAAAATTTTGATTTTTTCAAAAAATTTTAGATTTTTTTTCAAAAAATTTTAGATTTTTATTCAAAAAATGTTGCAAAAAAACTTTTTTTGAAAAAAATTCAACATTTTGATTTGTTTTCAAAAATTTTAGAATTTTTTTTTTCAAAAAATTTAGATTTTTTTACAAAAATTTTAATTTTTTTTTTTCAAAAATTTAGATTTTTTTTACAAAAATTTTAGATTTTTTTTTTTCAAAAATTTAGATTTTTTTCAAAAAATTTTGATTTTTTTAAACTATTTTGAATTAACTTTGAAATATTTTTTTAAAACTAAAATTTAAATATATTTAAAAAATATAATAATTAAAAAATTTTAAGTACAAAATTTCAATATTTTTTGAAAGTCGTAGCAGTCTTGGTAATAATTTTGAAAATTTTGTTATTCAAAAAAATAATTAAAAATTGTTTCCAATTTCTATTTTCAGTTTCTTTGTCAACATGAAATTCCTATTAGTCACCCTTGTGGCCGGTTTGGCGGTAAGTCCGAAAATCCCACACCTCCCACAAATGTTCCCCCTCACAATAAAATATTTCTCCCCTCTCCTCTATCTCATCACAGCTCTGCCACGCTGCCGTTAAGGAAGAAATCATTGCCACCGAATATTTGCAAAATATCAACAAGGTCCTGGCCAAGCAAACCAACATCGAGACTGAAGCCTCTTGGGCCTATGCCTCAAACATTACCGATGAAAATGAACGTCGTCGCAATGAAATCTCCGCCGAAAATGCCAAATTCATGAAAGAGGTTGCCAAGGATTTGTTGAAATTCAATTGGCGCACCTACAGCTCGGCCGATGTTAAACGGCAATTCAAAATCTTATCGAAGACTGGCTATTCTGCCTTGCCCGCTGAAGATTATGCCGAACTTTTGGAAGTCCTCTCATCGATGGAAGCTAATTTTGCCAAGGTCCGTGTATGTGATTATAAGGATAGCGAGAAATGTGATTTGTCTTTGGACCCTGAGGTTGAGGAAATCATTACCAAGAGCCGTGACCCCGAGGAATTGAAGCACTACTGGGTTCAATTTTACGATAAGGCTGGTGCCCCTACCAGGAAGTCGTTCGAAAGATACATCGAATTGAATGCCAAGTCGGCTAAGTTGAACAGTAAGTAAATTTTGAAACATAGAGATATTTAAAAAAATCGAACACTTTTTTAAAAATAATTTTTTCAAACATCCACAAGGCGTGAATTTTTTAAAAATTATTTTTTCAAACATCCACATGTAGTGGATTTTAAAAACTATTTTTTTTATTTTTTAAAAAAAATGTTTTTTATTTTTTTAATTTTTTTTTAATTCAATGTTTTTTTCAAATCCCGACCTTGATTTTTCGATTACTAATTTGTCCCTTTCTCTCTCCCTTTTTAGACTTCACCGATGGTGCTGAGGTCTGGTTGGACGAATACGAAGACGACACCTTTGAACAGCAGCTGGAAGCCATTTTCGAAGACATCAAACCCTTGTACGAACAGGTCCATGGTTATGTCCGTTATCGTTTGAATCAATTCTATGGCGATGATGTCGTGCCTAAGAACGGTCCTTTGCCCATGCATTTGTTGGGTAACATGTGGGCTCAACAATGGTCTGCCATTGCCGATATTGTTTCACCCTTCCCCAACAAGCCATTGGTTGATGTCAGCGACGAGATGGTTGCCCAGGGTTATACCCCCTTGAAAATGTTCCAAATGGGTGATGATTTCTTCCAGTCGATGGGTTTGAAGAAGTTGCCACAGTAAGTCGGAATTAGATTAGGATTTGAGGAGATTTTCTAATTTTTGAAAACTTTTTGCAGAGACTTCTGGGATAAGAGTATCTTGGAGAAGCCCACCGATGGCCGCGACTTGGTTTGTCATGCTTCGGCCTGGGATTTCTATTTGACCGATGATGTGCGCATTAAGCAATGTACCCGTGTTACCCAGGATCAATTCTTCACCGTCCACCACGAGTTGGGTCACATCCAATATTTCTTGCAATATCAACATCAACCCTTCGTCTATCGTACCGGTGCCAATCCTGGTTTCCATGAGGCTGTCGGCGATGTCTTGTCTTTGTCGGTGTCGACACCCAAACATTTGGAACGTGTTGGCTTGTTGAAGAACTATGTCAGTGATGAGGAGGCCCGCATCAATCAATTGTTCTTGACTGTAAGTCGATCGACAAACCAACTTTGGGTCTGGAAAAAAATTCTAAATTCCCTTTAATCCTCCCTTTCTAGGCCTTGGATAAGATTGTCTTCCTGCCCTTCGCCTTCACCATGGACAAATACCGTTGGGCCTTGTTCCGCGGCCAAGTAGACAAATCCCAATGGAACTGTGCCTTCTGGAAATTGCGTGAAGAATACTCGGGTATTGAACCACCAGTAGTCCGTACCGAAAATGATTTTGATGCCCCAGCCAAATACCACGTGTCGGCCGATGTTGAATATTTGAGATATTTGGTCTCCTTCATCATTCAATTCCAATTTTACAAGTCGGCCTGTATCACTGCCGGTGAATACATTCCCGGTAATCCTGAATATCCTTTGTACAACTGTGACATCTATGGCAGCAAGGAAGCTGGTAAACTTTTCGAGTAAGTTGCTCAAAAAATCGAAGTAAGGGAAAATAAAAAAATAACGGGATTTTTTCCTTACGTTACAGAAACATGTTGTCCTTGGGTGCCTCCAAACCCTGGCCCGATGCATTGGAAGCCTTCAACGGTGAACGTACCATGACCGGCAAGGCCATTGCTGAATATTTCGAACCATTGCGTGTCTGGTTGGAGGCTGAGAACACCAAGAACAATGTTCCAATTGGCTGGACTAAGTCGGACAGTAAGTTTTCCCCTTTTTGAGGTTATGTTGAAGATTTTAATCGATTTTTTTCTTTTTTATTTCAGAATGCGTTTAAGCCTAAGCCGATACACTTAAAAACACACCAAACACTTCTTAAGTTTTAAATTCAAAATTGTTTTTTAATTAATTTTATTTAAATAAAAATAAACAGTATTAAATTAAAACAAGTGAAAATCGGTAAGTTCGGCCGGTCCGAACTTTGGATACCCTCCACCATAGTTATATTGACAGGTACTAGAAATGAAAATATAGGGAACATACCAAATAGTGGACCTATACCGACATGTCTAAGAACGGATAATGTAAACCATAATACAAATTTCAGAAATTTTTAATTGATAATTCAAATTGGAAGATGGAGAATATCGGTCCACTCCTTCTGAAACCTCCACACAGGGGCTAGGTCTAAATGCGGCTATAGTTCATTATCGAACCTTACGTTCTAATTTTTTATCTCGCTATCCTCCGCATGTGAAATGATTGCAATAGGGTCTTAGAACCAAACTCAAAACGTGGAACAAATCAGATAACTATTTTAATATAAAAAAGGGGTTATATGGGGACTACCCCAAAAAGGGGGCGAATATTAATAATTTTTGGTAGAGAGGTTTGTTACCATATACGAATACAAAACACCAAATTGCAGCAAATTCGGTTGAAAAACGCGCTCAAGAACCCCAAAATACCGAAAATTGGGGGTACCCTATATATGGGGGATATCCGAAAAAATGGATCTATATTCATGTTTTTTTTGTGGAGAGCTTTGGTACCGTTTAAGAACTCAAAATACTAAATTACAGCTAATTCGGGGGGAAAATACGATCAAAACCCCCAAAATACTGAAAATTGGGAGGTACGGTTATATGGGGGCTACCAGAAAAAGGGAACCTATATTTATAATTTTTTGTGGAGACATTTAGGATCCAATATGAAACCAATGTAGGAAATTTCAGCGAATTCGGCTGAAAACGCGCTCAAGAACCCCAAAATACCGAAAATTGGGGGGTACCCTTATATGGGGGCTACCCGAACAAATGGACCTATATACATAATTTTTTTGTAGAGAGATTTGGTACCTATTAAGAACTCAAAATACTAAATTACAGCCAATTCGGTGGAAAAATACGACCAAAACCCCCAACAAACCAAAAATTAGGAGGTACCGTTATATGGGGCTACCCGAAAATATGGACCTATACTTATAATTTTTTGTGGAGACATTTAGTATCCAATAAGAACCCAATGTATTAAATTTCAGCGAATTCGGCTGAAAAACGCGGCTCAAGAACCCCAAAATACCGAAATTTGGCGGGTACCCTTATATGGGAGCTATGCCTAAAAGTGGACCGATATATCCCATCTTCGAACTTGACCTGCCTGTAGACAAAAGAAAATCCTATGCCAAATTTCAGCACCCGATCTCAATTCCTTCGGAAGATAGCGTGATTACAACAGACGGACGGACGGACATGGCTAGATCGTCTTAGAATTTTACCCTGATCAAGAATATATATATATACTTTATAGGGTCGGAAATGAATATTTCGATGAGTTACAAACGGAATGACAAAATTAATATACCCTCCATACTATGGTGGAGGGTATAAAAATATTTTTCAAGGGTTGACAAAATTAAAAAAAATATTTTTGAGCGATCTACCATAGGTTAGGTTAGGGGTACGGTTGTTAATAACAACCGTCCACTCGGAGACTATGTCCATTGTGATGATGGAGTGATCATCCTTTTATATTACCTGTAAAGAAAAGAAAAATAGAGAGTGGAGGAGCAAAGAGAAAAGATAGTGAGAGAAGAAGAGCGGAAGAGAGGTTATTTTAGCCATGTCAAATTTTTGACAACGCCTAGGATCTGGTTTGGGTCTATTTTGGAGAAAAATAATAACAACCGTCCACTCGGGGACTATGTCCATTGTGATGATGGAGTGATCATCCTTTTATATTACCTGTAAAGAAAAGAAAAATAGAGAGTGGAGGAGCAAAGAGAAAAGATAGTGAGAGAAGAAGAGCGGAAGAGAGGTTATTTTAGCCATGTCAAATTTTTGACAACGCCTAGGATCTGGTTTGGGTCTATTTTGGAGAAGAAGACATATTTTCAAAACTTACAGAGGATGTGTTCAATTGTTTCCATTTCTTCTTCGTCCTCACATAGACTTCGAAGTGATAGATCTAATTTTGCAGTGACCTGTTGTGATCCCCACAACGATTTTGATCTCCCTCTTATTGTGTGTCAGCGGCGAAGACGTTCTTTTGCGAGAGAATGCTGGCCAGATAGATTTTGAGATTCTGAAGGCAGGTTCACTCAACCATCGGTTGCCGACTACCTCGCAGTAGAACGTACGGATTCTGCCAATGAAATAGCCGATGGAAGGTTTCAACGATCTCTCAATCGGAAGATTGGACGACTGTGAGCCCCCTCGAGCAAGCTCGTCGGCTATCTGATTCCCTTCAATGTCGCTATGTCCTGGAACCCAACATAAACTAACTATCTGTCGTATATCATTCAGAGCGGACTTGCAATCATGAACTGCTTTTGAGTTTATAGTACGCGACTTCACCGCTTTAAGGGCCGCCTGACTATCGACATATATAGTCACCGATCCCGTAATGTCGGCAGTAAGTGATTTTACTATTTCGGTCGCTTTCGTGATTGCAAGGATTTCTGCTTGTTCCTAATTCCCTACAGTAAACGCCTGCACCAGTGCCTTCCTCCATCTTTGACCCGTCTGTAAAGAATGACAGACCTGGCAGAGGTAAGGAGCCACTAGTCCAGGATTCCCTACTAGGAAACTCTACTTTGATGTCATTAAAGTCTCTGTGAGAGGGAACATAGTCACTAATATGAGTATTCCCCCTCAAGAGGTCTCAACCTGGCGTTATGTTTAGGATGATAGCATTACCATAGTTCAGCGATTTCAAGGCATCCGTTTCCCGGAGCCTCAGGGCACATCTGGCCGCCTGGAATTTAATTAGAATGTCCAGTGGTTGGAGATTCAGGATTGCGTTCAAGACTGTCTGTGGTGTACTTCTTACTTCTTAATATACTGTCAGGGTATTATCTCGGGTCTTAATCCCCAGCTCTTACCTATGGAATTCTTACATGAGTAGAGTGCCAGCAGTCCTTTCTTAGAGCGTTCCTCAACATTCCTATACCACATTAGTTTGCGGTCAAGGATAGTGCCAAGGTATTTTGCTTCTTCAGAAAGGGCTAAAGTCATTCTGCTTCTCCAATATCCTTAGTGTATTCTCCAGCCCCTTAAAAGGTGGTGGGGTATACACAGAGGCTATCATACCGCTTGGTATCTCTTGGACCGCTACAGCTACCAGTGTGCTACCTTCCCAAAGAGGATCCAGGTTGTTAATTGTCTTCTTAAGGAAGTCCGCAGTCTCCAATTAACAACCTTGATCCCTTTGTATAAGGGCCAAACCGTAGGCTCTGTCGATCAACCTCTTCGGATAGGAAGAGGTCCTTCAGATGGCTGTCGGCCAGCAACCATTTATCCTCGTTGATGATCCCGTCGGGGTCAGCTCGGTCCATAATTGCTACTCGCAGATCTTTCGGAACCTCTTTTGGAGCAACGGATTCGCTGAGCGTCGTTGTACGTTTCTGAGCAACCTGCTCCGAGGCAGCGTGTTTGGCTTTCACCACACAATCACAGCTCTTGGCAAGTTTCTCCTTCGACGCAAATGAAGCAGAGCTTTGTACAGTCGACGACTGCGTGGGTCTCTTTGCAGCAGGTCGATGTTTCTCCGAGGACCTTATTCTCTTGACTGCCGTAGGTTGTGGCCGAGATTTAGCACCCGGGGTTGCAACCGCTGTAGAGATATGCCCAGCTGATGCAGGCACCTGCTTCGCGCTCGCTACCTTCGCTATCATCCACTAGCAGCTGCCCAATTGTCAAAGCCTTGGGTATCGGCTTTGGCAATTCGACAGATGGTGGATTGACAGAGGGTGGTTTTGTCTTATCCATGGCACATTTAGCGCAGCTGATGTTTTGATTAACTGTCAAAGTTGGTAATTTCTACTTGAATTCGATGTACAGTGTTGCCAACCATTTGAAATATTATATGGAAAAATTTGACAGATAATCGAGGCAAATACAAATGTTTTTGTTTTGATACATTACCTTATTATTGCATCATGGTCTTATCGGTCTTCTTGGATGCATTTTTACGGGCTCTCCTTCGGGCCGACTCCGACAGTCCCCTACCTTAGTGGATGCTGGTGTCTGGGACGTCTTAGTACTCAGATTACCGCTGGGGAGGTGCTTCCTAGATGTACTAGAGCTCCCAACAGGTTTATCCTTCTCTGAAGGGACTGTGGTGGTCTTAGTACTGGGTCGGGGGATCCTATCAATCAAGAAGTCTCTCTCAATATCATCTGGATAGTTCCTGGAGAACTTCCGGATAAACTTGAGGTTCCTTTTGATTAAAAGGAACTCCTTTGCCGTGATGGAGTAGCTGTCCCGTCCGACGTATCGGTTACAGTAGTTAACTCCACAAAAAGTGCTGTAAGTGAGGGATTGAGGTCGACCATGGCACAGCCTCTTACCATGGCAAGGACTTGCCGTCTAAGCCTGAATAAGCTTGTTGAGGCGCCCAGGTATCAACAAGGCTCCGTTATAATACAGTCGGGACCCTGACTGCAAACAGTAGAACGCTGATGAGCACGAGGTCGCATGACACCCCAGCGTTTGGGGGGACATTCTCGCCTCGTCGGCCCAGGGATCATAGGCACTCTGTCATTTCATCCGAGACTCTCCCCCTGAGTCCGCTGATTGTCCACGACTGTTTATTTGTTATTCACAGCTACCCAATGAATAGTATTGTGCTTCCCACTATCCGCAACCTGTGGACGCGTCCGTTAGCATTCAGCTCTGCTCCCCGAAGGCGGATCTACCATAGATTATTATTTTTAAGGTCGTAAAACAAGGCGTGGATTTTTGTAAAAATTATTTTTAAGGTTCTAACACAAGGCCTAAGG